CACAGAGGTGGCTTCTGTGAGAAGCTGCTGGAAGCTCCCACCATGTCCAGCAGAGCCAATCCCCGATGGCTCTAAAGATGGACATGCTGCTGGCCAAAGCTGGGACAATTAGAGAGAGGTTGGTGTAGTGGTTTAGATACAAACCAGTGTAAAACCAGCACAGTTGGTAACACTTCTGTGATAACGTAGTAAAGAAGAAAATCAAAACAAAGTCATACAGCTTTTTCTACCCAGAGAGAAGGAGATGAGAACATGTAAGGGAAAACAACATGGAGACACCAAGGTTGGTACAGAAGGAGGGACAGGAGGTGCTCCAGACGCCGGAGCCGAGATTCCCCTGCAGGCCGTGGTGCAGCCCAGGTGAGGCAGCTGTGCCCCTGCAGCCCCTGGGGATCCACGGGGGATGCGGAGATCCACCCACAGCCCCTGGGGATCCACGGGGGATGCAGAGATCCACCCACAGCCCCTGGGGATCCACGGGGGATGCGGAGATCCACCCACAGCCCCTGGGGATCCACGGGGGATGCAGAGATCCACCCACAGCCCCTGGGGATCCACGGGGGATGCAGAGATCCACCCACAGCCCGTGGGACAGGTGCCCACACCAGAGCAGGTGGGTGCCTGGAGGAGGCTGTGACCCCGAGGGAGACCCCTGTAGAGAGAGGGCCCTGCTCCCAGCCTGGAGCAGCCTGTCCTTGGAGGACTGACCCTGTGGAAAGAGGGACCCACGCCACAGCAGTTTTGGGAGGACTGTGTGCCCAAGGGGAGAATTCACATTGTAGCAGTTTTGGCAGACTGCTGCTTGAGAAAGTGGACCCACGTTGGAGAAATTCATAGAGAATTCTCCCGTGGGAGGGACCCCACAGTGTCACAGGGGAAAGATTTCTCTCCCGGAGCAGCAGAAGAAAATCTCGGTGATGAACCGGCCAAAACCCCCACGCCCTGTCTGTTCCCTGTTGGTGGGAGGGGTCGGGGGGAAAAAAGGTGTTTTAAGGGCTTATTTTACTTCTCATTATTCTTCTCTGATTCTGTTAGTAATAAATTCACTTTGCAACTTTTAGTTGAGCCTGTTATGCCCTTAAAGTGTTTTCTCCTGTTCCTTATCTCAACTCATGAACTCTTCATTATTTTTTTTTCTCTCCTCTGCTCAGCTGTGGCAGGGGAGGGTGAGCGAGCGGCTTTTGTGGGTGCCTGGTGTTCGGCCAGTGTCAAATCATGCCACACACCTACTGAACGTTTTGCTATTACGACTGCTCTTTCAGCCTCTTTCCTAACCTCATCCCCTCCCCAGTCCCCACCAAAATTAATCAGATATTCTTTAATGGAGAAATTTTCACACATAAAAGAATAATGCCATTTTGAGGCCAGTCAAAACATTTGATTCATTTGAGAGGTCATTTAGTAGTAGTAGTAGTAGTATTGGTCACTTCTGGTTTTGTCTTTTTCTTAAATGTCATGTGTGTCCAAGTTTGTCTCAGAACATTAATGCCAAATGGTTCTGAAACTGGAAATTGACTTGAATCTGACATTCCTACCAAAACCGGACTAATCTTTAAGGGTTGTTTTATTGTTGGTGTTGCAGTGTCATATTCAAAAAAATCACATTATAATAGTATTTTCTAAAATTTTCACTCTATTTA